CCTGGGGACAGCCTGGGGACAGCCTGGGGACATCCTGGGGACAGCCTGGGGACAGCCTGGGGACATCCTGGGGACAGCCTGGGGACAGCCTGGGGACACGCTGGGGTACCAGGGCTGGCTCTGGGGTGTCACAGCCCCAGGTGCCACCGGTGTCCCCTGTCCCCAGGTGATGGGCTCAGGTGACAGTCTGTGCTGGCACAGGGACACTGGGGTGGCACAGGGGCTGTGACAGGTGACACAGGGGTGTGACAGGGCTGTGACACTGATGTCACACGTGTCCCCAGGTGATGGGACTCCGCAGACAAAGGAATTATGCCGGCCGTTGGGACGTGCTGATCCAGCAGGGCTGGCACGGGGACACGGGGGTGGCACAGGGGTGGCTGTGGGGCTGTGACAGGTGACACAGGTGACACAGGGGTGTCACACCGATGTCACAGGGTGTCACACGTGTCCCCAGGTGATGGGACTCCGCAGACAGCGTAACTACGCGGGCCGCTGGGACGTGCTGATCCAGCAGGGCTGGCACAGGGACACTGGGGTGGCACAGGGGCTGTGACAGGTGACACAGGGGTGTGACAGGGCTGTGACACTGATGTCACACGTGTCCCCAGGTGATGGGACTCCGCAGACAAAGGAATTATGCCGGCCGTTGGGACGTGCTGATCCAGCAGGCCACGCAGTGCCTGAACCGCCTGATCCAGATCGCAGCCAGGAAACGCCGCAACTACCAGGGACATTGCCACCCTCCTGGGGACACTGACACCGCCCTGGGGACACTGCCACCCTCCTGTCACCTTCCTGACCCCATCCTGGACCAGGTGACACCTGGGGACACTGCCAGGGACACTGGGGACATTGTCACCTCCCTGTCACCTCAGTTTCAGGCAAATGCACTAAAAAACTCCCAAAAATCACTAAAAAATCCAGGTTTTTCTCCATTTTTTCCCATTTTTGGCGGGTTTGAACCCAAATTTTCCTGATTTTGGGTTTTTCCCCCCAGCCCAACGGGTGCAGCTCGGCGCAGTGCTGGAAGATGCATCTCCAAATCTCTTTTTGCAGGGAAACTGACTCCAAAATCCCCTAAAAAATCCCTTTTTCCCCATTTTTTCCCAATTTTCCCCTTTTTGGACCCAAATTTTCCCAATTTCTGGGTTTTTCTCCCCAGCCCGTCTGTGGCTCTGCCGTAGTGCCAGGAGATGCATCCCCAAATCTCCTTTCCCTCCCCAAATCTCCTTTTGCAGTGGAGCTGACTCCAAAATCCCCCTAAAATCACTGCAAAATCCATTTTTTCCTATTTTTCCCTGTTTTTCACCATTTTTCACAAATTTTTTCCCAGTTTTCCCGTTTTTCTCCCCACACCAACATCTCTGATGGAAAATGCATCCCCAGATCTCCTTTTTCAGGGTGACAAACTCCAAAATCCTCCCAAAACCTCTAAAAAATCCAATTTTTCCCCGTTTTTTTCCCATTTTCCCCCTTTTTGACCCAAATTTTCCCAAATTCCCATTTTTTCCCCCCAGACGAACGTGTACGGCTCAGCCCAGCGCAGGAAGATGCAGCCTCCTTTTTCAGAGAAACCAACTCCAAAAATCCCTAAAAAACCGCTAAAAAATCCGATTTTTTTCCCGTTTTCACCATTTTTGACCCAACTTTTCCCGTTTTTGCGGTTTTTCTGCCCAGACGAACGTGTACGGCTCAGCGCAGCGCCGGAAGATGCAGCCTCCTTTTTCAGGGAACCTGACTCCAAAAACCCCTAAAAAACCGCTAAAAAATCGCTCAAAAATCAGATTTTTTCCCAAATTTCGCTGGTTTTGACCCGAATTTTCCCGTTTTTGCCTTTTTTCTGCCCAGACGAACGTGTACGGCTCAGCCCCGCGCTGGAACATGCATCCCCAAATCCTCCTTTTCCAGGGAAACTCACTACAAAAACCACTAAATACCGCTAAAAAAGCCCTAAAAATCACTAAAAAATCCAATTTTTCCCCGTTTTTTTCCCAAATTTCGCTATTTTTGACCCGAATTTTCCCGTTTTTGCCTTTTTTCTGCCCAGACGAACGTGTACGGCTCAGCCCAGCGCAGGAAGATGCGTCCCTTCGCGGGCTTCCAGCGCCGCGCCATCGTGGTGTGCCCCACGGACCGCGAGCTGCGGCTGCGCACCGTGAAACGCACGGACGAGGAGGGCAAGGACGTGCCCGAGCACGCCGTGCTCGAGATGAAGGGTGAGATCTGGGGGGAAAAAC